AGTTTTTGTTTTTGGTTTTTTTTTGCATTTTCGAGGTTCTGGCCATCTGGAGTAGACCATGCAAAAACCTCGAAAATCAAAAAAAACAACAAACAAAACTGGAGAGCCCATTGGGGCTCTTGTCTGACTCTGTGGACATGTGGTCTGCAATTTTTTTTTTGTTTCTTTTTATTTTCGAGGTTCTGGCCATCTGGAGCAGACCATGCAAAAACCTCGAAAATCAAAAAATAAAAATTGCAGACCCCATTGGGGCTCTTGTCTGACTCTGTGGACATGTGGTCTGCAATTTTTTTTTTTTTGGATTTTCGAGGTTCTGGCCATCTGGAGTAGACCATGCAAAAACCTCGAAAAAACAAAAATCAAAATTGCAGACCCCATTGGGGCTCTTGTCTGAATCTGTGGACATGTGGTCTGCAATTTTGGTTGTCTCCTGTTTAGCCTTTCCTGGGTCCCTCTCCAAGGGTCTGATTTTTTGTATTTTCGTTGATGTACCAAAAAAGATACAAAAACAAAAAAATACAAAAATCAGACCCGTGTCTGAATTCACCATAAAGAACAAAACCTTACAAAAGAACAACTTTCACAAACCTATCAATGCTTACAAAAGAACAACTTTCACAAGCCTATCAATGCAAGAGAGATTGCTTGTTTATATTGTAATTTTCAGCATTTCAGCAGCAGATAGAAGGCTTTGAAGTAGAGAATGCAAAAAATGCGCGTTTCTACAATATGCATACTCTCCCCCCCCTCACCCCCCCTTCTGTATATTATATATTCATATTATTAAAATTTTCGAATAGATTAATTGAATTATTGCATTGCAATTGGAATTAGATAATTTCAAGTTAATCGATGAATAATATATATTTTTATTGGTGAAATGACATTGAAATATTAATATATTAAATATAAATCATCAAATAAAGGATATGAATTATGTAATTAAAGGGGCGGTCAAAAGTATGAATTTCTTGGCGGACAAAAATTTTATATGTATATATTATTGGTTAAAAATATTAAATTGATTAATATGCAATTATTTCTATATAATCCGTCTCCCCTATATTCCAGAAATCTTTTTCTATTCTTTAATAATTGGAAATGAATCTTTTTTGATTATATTTTAAATTATATATAATTTAGGAATGCAGAAAAATACTAATTGCGAAGAATAATATTTTAACGATAAAATCTTTCGTGCCAAATTCCTGAAAGCCAGAGATGAAATTGCTAAATTCGAAATGGAATTGGAACGAAATATTATTATTGCATCCATTTGAAGGCAAATATCGTTTTTGGGAATGGTATCGTTTTTTTTCAATCCATATATATCTAAATATATTTTATTATAGAAGGTAATCTTGTAAATAATGATTAGTAATAATGGTCGTCGTAGTAGTATTTATATTAGTATTATATATTAGTAGTAAGTAATAAGGAGTAAATAGTAAGTGTAAGAAATAGGTAGTAGGTAGTAGAAATAGTAGTAATAGTAGTAGTAGTAGTAGGAGTAGTAGTAGTAGTAGTGGTAGTAATAGTTATTATAGTAATATATAGTAATAACGATGGTGGTTGTGGCGGGAAATTAAAAAATAATGATATAAATATCATCACCAAAACAAAATAAAATATCTAATTAACATAACAAATTAAACCTTGGACATACATTCTCGAATGTCATTAATATCAATAAACAAAGATAAATTCTAAGATATATATCATTATAATATTAAATATTTTCAAAAAATCATATATATAATTCATTCTTATAGAAATATGAATGCCGCCTTATAAAATTTTGTTCATTTTGAAGATATATATATATATGAAGGACGACGAGGCCTCCTAAAACGAATATTTAATATTCATTCTTTTAAAATTTGTAAATTTTATAATGGCAAAATAATTCAATTGAAGCATATTTCTAATTATATATATAATATATATAAACATATAAATATAATAATTATATTATACAATCTAAATATTAATTAAATTCAAATATATATTAATAATTTGAATAATTACATATAATTTTTTCATTATTAACTTTAATTTATATATCAATTTATATCGTATTTTTTAAATTATCTAATATAAAATATTAAATATATATATTTCTATTATATTTCAATAAAATACTATCCAAGATATATATTGTTTTAATATAATCATTATTTATATTAAAATATATAAATATATTTAATCCACGATCCGATCGACCAATAATTGTTTTATTAATATAAATATTACCATTACTACAAACTACTACTACCACATAACCGGCCGACCAATATTACTATTAATATATATTAATATAATATTCAATATTAATAATTATATTTTAAATAAACATAATCAATTTTTAAAAGATTTATCTATTTATAACCATCAAAATCTTAAAATTTTTTAACAACGACGACCTCCTTTTTCTCGAGTATTCCTTTTAAGATCGAGGACCTCAACGATACATAATTCAAGTGTTGTCGAAAATATTCCTTTTAGATCCTAATTTATCAAATTTTCCTCGGACCGGCAGGATTTTTAATATTTAATTCAATTATTCAATATTGATTAATATTATTGATTAATTCAATATAGACAATTTATATATTTGATCTTTTGGCTTATCATGTCATTTATGCCTGAAAAATTACTAAATTTTCAGGATTTCATCCTTATAATTCCATAGGAAATCATTCCCATCAAAAGAGCCCAAACAAATGGCATCTCGACGTTCTGCGAGATGAGCAGCAAAAAACCTCCCTGTGCTACAAAAGCGCTGAGCCCAGCAGTCCATCGATCCGTGGCTTGGAATGGGATCAAAAGGCAAAGCAAGGCCAAGGGTACACCAACAGCCGCAGTCGCCCATTCTGCAAGCTCCCACACGTTCTCACCAAATCTGGACACACCAATAACTATACCTATCAGGTGCAGAATTCAAATTTTGGGTTGATTGGATTACTTTTTGGCCAGCCAGCTTCATCCAATTCTTCCATTTTAGATACCGTCTCCAGCCAAATCATGTCAACTCCAATTCTTTCTGCAAACAGAACGCACAAAGCTTGGTCATATCAATCCAAGAAACCAAGGGCCAGTACAATCGATGCAGTATCTGCCCCTGGAATTTGCAGCGTGAAGCGGAATCGCTGTGCTTGATTCGTCATGACCTTTGCACACATGAGGATGCTTGTGTCGACAGTATTCAAGGATTCCAAGATCAGAATTGCAACCAAAAGATGATCTCGGCCATGGAATTGACCAGGCAGCAACTGCTTCACTGTCATCCCGATGATCTCATCTTGTGATTCACACAGATCCATCTCAGCGTGCTTCAGCATGGACTTTGCCCAAATCCCAAGCACTGCAGGTGACAAGCCGATGCTTCCAAAGAGCAAGGCTGCGATGATGCAAGCGACCTTCGCCTGTCCAGGAGATCGAGCAGAAAGTATGCGACCTGCGAGCTCTTCAGTGAAGAGATTCCCAAAAAGGCCCACCGCAAACTTGTTGGCCGCCAGTGATGGCGCAACAGACCAGACGTGGACCTGAAGAGGGAGAAAGGCTGAGAGACTTGGAGTGTACACTGAGACAGTGGTCTTCAAAGATCTCATCATTGTTGAAACAACTCGCAACACATCGCAAAACTACGACTCGTCCACTTCACGAACGTTTCACTTGGTGATATCCGCTCCCACTGGACGGTGTTCCCCAACCTGTTCGGCTTCCCAAGCAGCATGTGGAGTTTCATTCACGGCCACGTATGCCAACAGGATCATCGTGGGAGCTACGATCAACATGGACAGCGCGTCCAGCCAAATGTCCGCCATGAGTCCACCAGCCACAAACCAAAGCAAAAGCCCAAGTGCAACTGAGGCTTCCAGAAATTCACTCGGAAAGAGGTTGAGACTGGCAGCGAGGCTCAGAATTGCTTTGTACTGGGCTCCTGAAAGCAAACGTTTCAAAATCGGCAGATCGCAGGATCCAAAGAACATGTCCAAAGCAACCAACCACTCGACTCCGTATCTTGAACTCTGGACACCTTCCATCTTCTGTGTCTTGAACTCATGAGTTTGCTCGTTTTCCAAGAAGTCAACATTTGGGGCGAACCAAACAGCCAGCCCCTCCATGAGGACTCCTGCCCACAGCATGGAGCCAGTCAGCGATAAAGCTGAAGCCAGGCCGCCCACAACAGGTCCGAAGCGATGGATCATCACATCAGACATCGTCTCAAATGTGCCCACGAAAGGACTCAACAAGATCCCTAAGACCATCAAGCAAACCTCAAATAGCGCCAAAAAGGATACTTTTCACAGGCACATACTGCTACTGCAATGTCAAACCAACAGGATTGATGTCCAACAAATTGCAGGATTCTCCGTTTAGGTACTGTAAAAAATCAAACATCTTTTGAACCAAGTGTAGGAAGCAGAAGCGCCCAAAGGATCGAGGAGGATCGCAGGAAAGGCCTCAGAGTTCCATCCATTGAGGTCCACAGGTTCATTGCATCTTCAGGTGTTGCCGCCATTCTCTTCATGGACCCGAAACAAGTAGCCACAAACTTTGGCATCCCACCTGGTCAAATGATCTTTTGGGAGTTCCTTATATATATATATATATAAAACCATCCTCAACATGCCGTCGCACATCGAAACCATCCGTCTTGGAAGCTTGCGGACCAGGCCCTCACTTCCTTCCACACCCCGCCCTCCGGGGTCGTCCGGGTCGTCCGGAGCAACCGGCTCCCGCGGGTATTGGAGAGGCCGGGTGACATGGCCGCATGCCACCTCTCCAGTGAGGCCGGTGATGTTCTCAGAGGCCACCCAATTGGCCACCAAGCTCAAGGCAATGGACACCAGCAGCATAGCTTGGGAATTGAGGGAACCACCAAAAGGATCTGGTGGCGGTTTGGTTGGTTAACTCAAACAAAAAGGATGGAATATGTAAAATTAAAAGCACAAAATCGAGATAGTGCAAAATGGAGAAACGGTTTCCATTCTGCCTCTCGGGCCGCAAACAAAATGCCCATGTCTAGAGTTGAAACGAGATGAGACAATCACTCTGACAGGCGTTTTTGCGAATGGAGGCCCTTTTCGCAGCTTCAGAAGGTCACAAGTGTTGTAAACGTGGCATAAGGAAGGGTGGCAGTGATGGAAGTGGCATGAACCTGTGATGGAATTACAATGAATTACATCGTCGAAGATGGATCTTTGGGGAAAGACCAACGAAAAACTCTTGAAAAACGCGCAAGGAGGCACTCAAAATGTTCGTATCTTTTTGAGCGATGCACATCGCACATTCATAATGCTCCCTTGGTATTGCAGCTCGCCACTGAATTTGCCCCCATTCATTGACTGGAGCGCAATACATTACTGCAATTTGAGAGCCTGCTGGACAAGGACTTACATTCTATTTTCATTGCCCATCGTCATTGTCACACTAGAGCGACTGTCAACACTGCATCCTCCAGCGACTCTCATCTCTGGGACTAGCCGATCTTTGCCAACGGACCAGCCATCTGCTAAGATAGCTTCAAAGGTTGACAAAACAGGAAGGATACGAACCTCATGCTGATTTACCATTTATAGCTGAACAGAAAACGATCCATTGATTTCTGGACAAACAGGTTGAAGAACACTGGTTGTGGGGTCCCCCAATGGTCTTTATTCTTGTCCTCCAATGGTTCTCGGAGTGCTTGGCGGTGCTTGAAGACCCCCGAAACAAAAACAATCTGCAACCATGGTTCTTTCCGTTCTGCCACATCATTCGGTCCATCCTTCCAACCCCCTATGAGTACACTCGGTGCTGGATGGGCTGGCAGCATTTGATAGATTGTTCAACTTGCATGTCTTCCACTCTGTGTCAGCGTGAGGGTACTACCCATCGTAGGTCGGTAAGTGGATTGCTCGGGGCAAAGAACGAGGTGCCTTAACACCTCTTAAACCGAGCCAGAAAACACCCCCAAAATGCTGTGCTGATCTGGTCAACTCGTCAAGCTGCACTTGACATGATGAGTGAACTCCAACCTCATCTCACTCCACCAATCAAAAGGACCAAAAACAACACGTCTGCCAATCGAACGCCAAACCCATCCAAGAGACAACCTACAGTCAGACAAGAATGACTCGAAGAACTTGCTGCCTCTTGACTACAGTCAACATCTTCCAAGATTTCAATTTGCCTGTCTGACACCAAACGCAACTTTCGCCTTGGGCGCAAGCCACTCAAAGAATTTGTGGGAGCCAGCGAGTCCATCTGCATTGGAATATGAGATGTAAAAAGGATTGATCTGCACACTCTATACTCTGTGAATTCACCAGAATGAATGCTCAATTCAAGGTCGGTGGCCCCAGTGTTTCACAAAGTCAACAGTAAGCCTCTCCCACTAAGGACAAGTCGTTATGACACTTCCTGAGCTGCATGATGCTTCCAAGTCCAGATGGACCCAGTTGAGGCTACATGAGGCACCCGTTAATTAGAACAAGCCCAATCGATGAGCGTCCAGTGGATAGTCGCTGGCCAACAACTCAAGGCTTCCATCTGACAGATCTCCATCCTGCGTGCGATTGATCCAACTGGGCCAGCACCTGCAAACCGCACTCTTTCAGAATATGGGAAGCCGTGAAGCCGTGGCTGTTTGAGGGCCTACAAGGCCTGGAAGTGGGAAAAAGGGACGTATTTCAGAGCCTACAAGGCCAGAACCAGGGAGACCGCGCCTTGCAGCCAGGGAGATGGGGATCTGAGCCCACTTCAAAACGAGTCCAAATGATTGGAGGGTCCACCCTGCCGTTGGTCCAATGCCTGGAAAGGCTAAAGCGTTGTGCCACCCATGCCACCATTTTTGCCACAATCTTGTTCCACCACCCCGTCACTGTTGGTGAATTCTGCAGATTAAGTGGTCGTCGCCCTTCATTCAGTGCAGTGGAGGCAGATTTGCGTTGAGACATGGACAAGCGTGGACAAGATCCACACTGCATCGATATTTGGAGGATTCTTCATGCTTTCGCACCACCATAGAGTTAGGTTCCAAACCAAAGAAAATAGACCTTCAAGTCTTTGTTTAAACTGGATTCACACGTCTGTCTTCTCCAACCTTCAGCTTCACCTCCAACCCTTCCAAGCTCCTTTCTCAGGACGCCTCCACCCCGTCCCGTGCACCGGGTCCTCCGATCGGGGCGACCAATCCGCGGGGCAAATGATCCGCGGCACCGTCCATGAGGTCACTGGCAGCGGAGGATCCGCCGCACGAGGACTGGCACCTGGAGGCGGTGGTGCTCATACGGAGGCTGCAATTTCGTGGCCGTTCTGTAGGGACTGGTGGTGTCACCCGGGGAAAGTGTCCAAGGAAATCTCGGATCCGAAAGGGATTCAGGTTTGTATACTTCGGATCGTTGTTCATGGTTACCAGTACTTTGTTGGCAATCTTTTTGTTTTTTTGAAGTGTTGGAGACCTGGGTGTCCGCCTCTTTTGGAGACAAATCCATCAGCCTCAAGCTCAGGGGACAAACCTAACTGGTGGTTCCAACTGTTGAACCTTGTTCAACGTAGCACATACTGTAGTTACTACACGTCTTTGCTTAGGGGCACCTGTAGTCGAACATCCACAGTCACCCAACATACCAAAGGCCTGCAAATGCAGGAATGGCCGCAATGTAGCATACTGGATCCCGAAATGGATATTCCATTGTCAAGAGTTCTTTTCACCCGGCTTCCTGTTGGGCCAAAGCTTTAGAAGTGTTTGTGTATGTTTTTGTACTATATGTGTACTGTACATATGCGGATGTGTCTTTTGCAATCTTTTGGACATGTTCATTCAAAGGAAGACGTATGGACGGACATCTTTAGAGGGTACCGGGTACATCCCCCTGCGGACATGAGTCAATGGGACCCAGTCGGATCGATGGAACCATCTACGGAGCAGCGAATCCATCCTACGGAGTGCTCGGAGAGCCAACCCGACCCGCTGAGTGGGAGGGGAACCTGACGACTTGGAGCAAGGAGGGTGGTGTTCCCTTTGCGAATTGGTGGAGACACGGAGATGTGCTCAAGTTCTAGAGAATTAGTTCACACATTGTCAGAAGGCAGAGAGTCTCAAATGTTCATCAAACACATCCGACCATCGAACCACACACCCATGAACACTTCGACCACAGGCAAAAGGCATGACGTGTCGTAAGGCACTTCATCTAGGGTGCCCAGGTCGTGAGAAACTTGCGACAGGAAGGGCGACAAAGAAACAACTTAATCATATACAGTATATATATAGTTATATATGTATATATATATACCTATGATCTAAAGGAATCGTTGTCTTTCCGTCTTGATGACATCGTTGTATCCAAATCAAATCAAGCTTATTGGCTGCAAAGATTTATGTGCGCCTGCCGAAACATCCTGCAACCCAACGGACATGATCAATCATGCACCATCCAGCAGCTACCCAAATGCGACACCTGCCGAGCTAACTACCATGCATGACCCGTGTGTTTGTTGTGCCTCTACATGAATGCATGAACAACCCAACTCCATCCCAACTACCTCATAACTGTGTCATGTCAATCCCGGATTCCAACCCCAATTCCAACCCAAATCAGCAAGATCTTCTCCATTCCGACGGCAGGAGGCCTCCTGCGGTGTCAGCGCTGTCCCGCAACTTTGGCAGCTCCAGCGGCTTCGATGCAATCTCAGAGTCCCCCACCGCCTGAGAAAGCGTTGGAGCAAAGCAATGGAGCATGGAGCAATCACACGGTGTGATGACAAGCAGTTGACGAAAAACCAGGTCAGCGAAAGAGGGTCACACACCTGGACAAATGAAAGGGAGCTGCCAAGCTGCTTGGGGCCACCCTGTGAAAACAACCGGTTCTTCTTTTGCGGGCCACATGAGCGACCTAAAGTATCCTATGGCGAGCTTGCTTGGAATTCAGCTGCCAAAGAAATGGTGTTTTGGTGCAAACAGCTCCCATGAACATCATCCAAGCGACAGCATCTTGAAGCACTGGCGCCACTTGCAGTCCAGTGCTCACCGTTCGGTTCTGTTGCATTGGGCTAGTAGCAGCATTTGCAACTGAGACCTCACGAGGGATACAACAACAACTCATGCTCTCGGACACATTGCCCCCCTACGTTGGTTCATAGACGTGTTCTGTACATATGTATATATATATATATCTACAATCATGATTCGAGGATATTCGAGGTCTGTACTTGAGTGCAGCAACATGACCTACCAAACCTGTCAACCAATTCGGGATTGTTTCTGTCCTTTCAGCTGTGACCAACATGACTGGTCAATCTAACTCCATCTCGGGAGCCTCAGAATCGCCAACAGCAGCATCTGCCTGTCAGCAATCTCCCAAATTGAAGCCTCTACAGTAGCTTAGCTAGCGACATCAGCCACTTGACTCTTGACCCACTTGACTTGTCTTGACACCAGCAAACCCATGGAAACACCCAACAACAGTTTGGTTGGTTGAACCCTACCAAAAACAATGCTAATTACAGTAGTTGAACAATCCAAAGTTTGAATCCATTCGAACATCAACAAAAATCTTCTGGACTCTTGGAGCCTTGATCGCTGGCCGAATCTCCGCTTTGGGCACCATGGTCACGGCATCCGATGGCGTTCCCACGGGTGCCGGTGTCACCGGTGTCACTGGCACCGGTGCCGCTGGTATCACCGGTACCGGTGCGATGGGTTGCGGAACGGCGGTTCCCACCGCGACCGGTGGTGGGTCCCGCGGGTCGCGGGCGACCAGTTGGACCAAGAGGTCCTGCACCGTTTGCAGCTGCTGCTGGAGCACACCCAATTGCTGCTGTTGTTGGCCTTGGGAGTTCGTAAGGGAGAACCAGCGAAGAAGCTCAGTCA